GGCGTCAAACTGGTGCAAAAGAACATGAAGCTCGATTCACTGGGTTGCTTGCGTTGGTGCCCAAGTGCTTGGTTGCCTGGTTTGGTAGACTGGTGGTTCATTGCATGGTTGGTTGAGGCTGTTTCTCAGCAACATGGACAGCGAACGGCCGGTACCTGTCTCAGCGTGGCAAGCAGGACACAATGAAGACCGCCCCCAACTTAGATAACTTAGTTGTCACTCTTATAGACCTGAAACCTTGGTGCAGGACCTGGCAACCCAGCTGTTCCACAGCAAGCAATACACCGCTGCTTGCAAACAACACAACCAGAAGAAGGGTAAGTACTTGTCATTGCCTTTTGCAGAGCACCTGTCAGGCATGTTTGTTAAAACTTTCAAACCCATTGTCAATTTGTTGCACTTGTTGGCTATCTGGCAATATTGGGCAGGGGTGCCAGAGAATTGGAGCTCGCCTACAGACTTGGTCAAAAAGGAAGACGTTGCACGTTTGTGCCCTTGGGTCAGTGAGCCGGTCACTAAACTTCATGACAGGCACAATAAACATGTGTGCAGTATTTTTGAAGTCACCTGATGCAAGGTCAACATGTGCTTGATTCACCTGCATGTACATGTGAGGTTGCACAGCACAAATGCCTGAGCCTCTTTACTGGCGTTCTCGGATTGGAGCTTGGTCTGGCTGGGTTGGGCACTGAAACCCGCCTTTGTTGCAGCGTGGTGCGCGTGTTCAGTTTGAAGTGATTGGTGATCGTTTTGACATCGCTCAGGTTTGTGGTTCCGCAGGCCTATGTCTATGCCTTAGCATTGATGTTGGCTGAGGGATGTCACACGTCACACTTTGAGGTTGAGTTCAAGCCCATTTGTCGACGCATCATCCAGAAGAACATGGACCAGGGGGTTGCCCATGCTGCCCCATTGTATGAAGATGTAACAACATTCATGCCCACAACGACCATGAGAAGGGACTGCACTGGGATCTGCGCAGGGTTTCCATGTCAAGATCCTCAGCCATATGCATGAGTTTCATGTTGTTGTTTCATTGTTATTGCTACACTTACACTGTGGAAGCATGCAGGTTGAACTTGTCGTGAATTTCAAACTAAGGGCATTTGCAAAGCAGGATCCAAAGCCGGGCTTCTTGACCATCGGTCTGGTCTTGTGACATACATTTGGAAGATGTTGGATTGTTTGGACAACCCGTGCCTTGCTTACATGGAAGATCTTTTCTGGTCTTGTTCACAAACAGTTTGTAATGTTTGTTCATTCCATGACTTGTCCTTGGTTGGAATTTGTTCATTTCTTCTCGAACTGATTTCAAAGTTAAGTCACATCAGGCTTTGGGTTTGGTTGGAGAATGTGCATCACCTCCTCTCAAAAGACATGGAAGACTTCTGGGAACACATTCTACGGGAGACTGCTGCTGGAAAGCCATCTGTCTTTCATGTATTTTGAGGGGGGTCTAGCGCAAACAGTTTGGCATGTTTGTCAGGAGCTCATTCGCAGAGGTTTCCATGTCAGATGGATCAGCGTGACCGGGCACTGCGTTGGCGCGCCAGCCACAAACCCAGAAACTATCTTGAGAATTGTTTGAGCGCCCGGCTGTCCTTACCATGACATGTTGAGGTATGGCGCAAGAGGGTGTTCGTTTTGGCTTGCAAGCCAGGATTTGTGTTTGCTCAGGCATGGTACTCAACCTGATTGAAATGCTTTGTTGTGTGTACGCATCCCCTTGGCAGGACACAAGCAGATTGATGACACAGCAAGACCTGCGCCAGTATCCAACCAAGCCGTGGGGGATCCCAATATCACCTGAGCGGTGGTTGCAGCATGAGCTGGATGAGGATGATCGCGAACGCCTGACAGCTTTAGGCAACATAGTGATGCCTGCATGTGCAAACTTTGCAGCCCATGCACTTAGCCGTGCAATGGTGGAAGCCTAGAGCTACCAACATGACAGCATGTCCTAATTTGTCTTGCGTAGCGCTATGTGCACTCAAATTTGTTCAACAATTCAACAGTTTGTCAGCCATGCCTCCTGTTTGCAAAGAACAGCGTGCTTGGTGGCAGCCTCAGAGCGGAAAAACCTTCACACTCTATCTTGACAGTGACACCCCTTGGCATGTTTAGCTGTACTGAGCAGTTGATCACTTGGTGCTGACTGTTGTGTAGACTTTTGGCTTTGGTATCCACTTGAATGGTGACATTGGGCTAGTGCACACTGGTACCCCCGGCTTGCTTATGTACCGAACAAGCTGTTTTGTCATTGACAGAATTTGAACAATAATAACAATAGTTGCATGTTGCTTGACAATCTTTGCTTCTTGTTTTGGGCGGTTGCTCAAACAGCTTAAGCAGCTTTTTGGTGAGCAGCATTCCTCACAAGCTGGGCACCTTGATGCATTCAATGTGTCAAGCACAAACTTCAACGTTCCAAGCTTCGTGAAAGTTCCACTGCTATGTAAACCGTGCTCCTGTGACAACTCAGGCCAGAACCTCCATGCCGCCTACATTGGATCACCTAGAATCACCGGTCAGAACCTTAGCAAACCAGAGCTCTGTTGAGTTACATGTCACATGTCACAATTTGCATCTCATTTGTACAGGGACACTTCTAGACTGACAGAATGTTTGCACGTGCTCAGCAAGCATGCCTTACTATGTGTGATTGTGTTTATCAATTTTGGCTCAATCAAGACATGGAAGCATGTCACACCACTACCGAACATCGCCCTGGTAGTGAACAGCGTGCCAAGGCCATGTCCAACTCTAAAGAGCTCCATCGCCAGGTGGAGCACTTGCGACAGGGACTGGGCAGGGCCGAAAGAAGTTTGCACATCGCCGAGGGCAACTATGAGCAGATTTCCATGGAGCTTGAAAAGGCCAAAACAAGTCTCCAAGTGGCCCAGAAGCACTACGATCAGGTTGCCCAAGGCTGTGAGGAGGTTGTCAGAACTCTTCGGGCGGCGCAACACAACTACGATGGGGTCGCTAAGTCCTTCGAGCAGACTAAACAGAAGTATGAAGAGGCGCTGCAACTCGAATATGAAGACTGGGCAACTGAGCTGGAAGCTGAAGCTGCCAAACAGTCGGCGGTACCGGGTGTTGGACTGCCGTCGGCAGAAGCAGTTAGAAGTGGTCCTGCTCCACAGCCAGAAGTAGCTGGTGGTGTTCCTGCGGAAGCACCTGGAAGAGTTCACGCTCCACAGCCAAGCAGTGCCCCGCTGCCGCCACCACCGCCAGTGATTGAAGTGAAGTCAGAGGAGCTTGATGAAGCAGAACCTTTGGCTGAACCGCCGGCTGCAGCTGTCGAGGGAGAGGTGCCCGCTGCGCAGACGGTCGAGAATGAGGAGGACGACAAGACAAAAATCGACAGGCTGGTGCAGGCAGCAAAGCGTGCCGCAAAAGCTCACGAGGTGCAGGCCCGGCAGGCGGTCAGTGATGCAGGACTTCCTCAACCACCTCCAGTTCCGCCTATGGGTTGGGATCCAAGGATGCCGCACTGTGAGGTGCCATGTGACTGCGGAGCTCGCTGCACAAGGATTGGGCGGATGGCGCGCATCGGGCGCACATACTACAGACATCGCAACCATACATGCGATGATTGTCATCAGCGATGGTTGAGCAACAACACCATTCATGCGGTGCCCAAAGCCTACATGTAGCGCCAGAGATGTGAAAAAGTGTGCGCGCGTTCTTGCAGCTTTTAAAGATGTCATGCGATAATGCACTAATGCAATGTCATGTGATAAAGATGTCACGTCATGTCATCATTGTTATGTTGTCATTCTCACTTGCAAATGCCAACAAGTCATGGTCGCCAAGCACTGCAAGCCAAGCAATCAACAAACAAGTTGATATTCAACTGAGCTCCCGGCCCGTTCGATTGCCAAGGATTCTTTCTGGAGGTTGGAGGAGGCGGGCCTGCAAGGGTTCATGACATAAGACTTCAATGCGTTGGCTCTCATGCATGCAAACACTCAAGGACTTACAGGCTTACATGCGTGTTTTGAATAATGGACTAGATACTAGTTGCAACCTTTGCCACTCTCTTCCTCGATTGTTGAGATCTCTGTGTGGGTGTTTGTCAGCAAGTTCATGTATGCTTTCGTTTCGCTGACAGGAACCGGACCATCCGTACATCAGGGCAATCGAGTTTCTTGGTTCATCGGAGCCCTCATGGTGTTGCTGTTGTTTGTGGCAAGTGCTTGTGCGTTAAACCTTGACCAACTATACCCATGTTTGGAGTGAGGCGCAAACGTGCTTTGGAGGTGAGGTTTGTGCAACCACCACAGTCAACTGTTGCTTGCATGTGTTCACCGCTTCTGCCAGGAGGAACAGGATGAAGCTCAAGCTCAACTGGATTGGATCTCAGCTCTGGCCAGTGTTCACAATGCTTTTGGATTCACACATCAACTCAGTCCAAAAGAGCAAAGATTGCAGAAGTCAAAGAATCTCAATCCAAAGCTGTCTTAGACAAGGCGCCCATCATAACAGAAACTATGGTAGCTAAGTACGACCTAGACTATGGTGTGTCTTATCATGGCTCACTACATGTGTTGTGATCCTACTACCAACTTCTATTGAAAGACCATAAACGCGGAAAACATTGTGTTCATTGACCCCAGCGATGGTACTGTAAAAGTTGGTGCCCCGGCCAGGTGTTAATGATTGTGCTTGATGACCAGGTCAACTCAGGCATGAGCGTGCAAACAGTGTACAGGTTGGAAGCCATCCTCACGAGGGTGACCAGTTTATGGGACAAAATGTATTGAGATGTCAAAGGCTCTCTTTACAACACTTTGCAACTCAATTTGGTAGGTTCACCACGTTTGCTTGATCGCCGTGGTACAAAAAGGTTGACAAACTACACCGCAAGCACAGTTGCAACACTACTCACTAGCACTAGCGTTGACAAACTACGCAGCAGAACCGTTGCAACACTACTCACACTTTGGTTGAGAGACTTGCAAGCGGCACACCACCTCACAGCAGCATTTGGCTGAATGTTGGTTCCGGTGACAAGCCTGTCTGATGATGAAGGCGATCTCATTACCCCTGCTCGTGTAGTTCCTTGGGTTCGTTCAGGGAGCGAGCTCAGTGGTGAGAAGCCAGAGCCTGTGGCAAAACGACAAAAACTCCAAAGGAAGGCCTTGTCGTTTGCAGATGACCTCCTTGAACATCTACTTGAGAAGACTCGTGCGATTGTTCAGTCAAAGTGCCGGTGCTCACAGAGCAAAGTGCCTAGAAATTGTTATGTCCCCTTCAGGGATTCAGATCAATTTCAGCGGCTTACTGCTCACATCCGGCGACTGCGTGAAATGGACAAGATGGAGCTGGACAAAGAGGCAAGGAAGCAAACGCTTGTTCTGGGCTGCTTGAACCACTTTGGTGTCCATTTTCATGAGACTACCGCTGGTTAAATTGTATTGACTGTCGTTGATTGACAATTCCAGTGTATTTGTCAGGTCTTCAATGCCATGCAGGCAGTGCGGCCTCAAGGTGATGGCGAGCGGTCAGGCACATTGAGCCTGCTAGGCTTTCCCGTGTGTCAGCATGCTTACAAGAGGTTGATGAGACTAGGTTCAGGACGCTTCAACCGGCTCAGCACGGCAGTGCATGAAGGGGCTGAAGATTGCCCACATGATTTGCGATATACAAGCAAGGCCTTCACATCGTGCTCACACAAGCGAGAGCTGGTCCACGACTTTTTGTTTGAATTGTACGAGACACTAGCTGAGCCCATGCCCGAGAATCGGTGTTGCTCGAAACGTCCCAGGCTGATCAAGAAACGTGATGACAAGGTAGTGGAAAGGGCCACTGGAATGCAGGAGAAAGCGTTACCCCCAGGGACATTCGCAGAGTATTTGTCCATGCTACGGCGCAAACACCCAGATGAGAAATTCTCATACAAGATCTTCACAGCCGTCGATGTCCCAGCTTACGGTGATTGCTGTGTTGGCTAATGTCTAAAACTAAACTAACAACAAAGCAAAAACAACAACGCAACATGATGGTCCCGCACATGTTGGAGAGCTAAGGTTTGGGAGCAGCACTTCGCTGATGTTTTGAAGATCCGGGGCAAGAATCAGCACTCGAAATGTTCTGTCTGTATACGTTTCAAATTGACAATCCGGAGGCTTGCGAGGTGCTCTGCCGCTCGTTCTGAGCAAATTCGGCTTTTAGACGCGCACAGGCAACAGCAGTACATGGATCGTGTTTGTTACTGGCACTCACGATCGTTGGCAAGATCGCTTGCTGGATTGCCCGCTCCGAGCGCAATCGTATGTATCTGCGACTCGATGGACGCCGCCAAGTTTACTTGGCCTCGTGATGATGCGCTAAACGCCAAGGAATTCTGCAAGTTCATCAAGCCGAAACTCACGGCAACTGCCATCATTGCACACGGCCATGATGTCATGTTGCACCTCTCAGTTCCGGGCGTTGCTTCCGACAGTTCGAGAACAATTGAACTCTTAGGTCGGATGCTGGAGCGAATGCGAGAGAGAAGGATCGACCTTAGAGGGTCTGAGTTGATCCTCCAAGGGGACAACGGACCCAAAGAAATCAAGAACAACGGCGTGATCAGGTTCTTGGCCAAGCTCATCTGTCATGGAAAACTTCGTCGAGCTGAACTCAGAACATTGCAGGTTGGTCACACACATGAGGACATCGATGCTCTGTTTGGTAACTTGAGCAAGGTGCTGCAGCAAGGTCACTGCTTACACACCCCTCACGACTATGTGAACGTTCTCTCAGCATACCTGCAGCGTGATGATGTAAGACCGACTGAACCGCACTCCCAAGTGGCCATGGTGGACCAAGTGAGGGACTGGTTGCTTGTTACTGAACACTGACTGTTGAACTGTGGTTTTTTGAGTGCTCATGCTGTCTGACTTCCATGATTCAGATCACACGCGGGCGTTGCCAAGGAAAACTTTCTTGCAAATCACACAAAGGGGCAACACAATTGTGGGAATCGGCGGCGCTGGCTCTGCTCATGTTTGGGCTTTAGACCGTATCGGCGACCTAGGCATAGGCTTTGTACATCTTTGTACACACATACCAATTGTTATCGTGCTTTGTACACACACACCAACTTCTCCAAGCGTGGCTTGCATTGCTCTTGGCAGGTATCGACCATCATGACCCTGACTTGGACACGAAGTTTTGGCGGCGCCGGAGGGTTCCGTTTGGTGAGAGGGATGTGGTTTTGAGGACTGATGCATGTTGGTGATGGACACATTGGTTCAGAACAATTGAGCACCGACTGAATGAAACTACTTTTGCCAGCTGTGGATCATGGGTGGAATCTAGCTGTCGATCAGGACCAAAGCTCACATGTCAGACCCTGTCTTCAAGATGCACAAGATTTTGTATCTACCAGCATCTGTTGGTGACCAATCACGAGGGATGACAGTTCCACGTCCATCGGGCTCACTTGGGTGTTTGCTGTGTCTAGTTATATACGTAGCTTGCTGTGTTCGTTGGCTTGCTTGGAGAAACAACCCAAACCGGCCAGTTGCTCCCAACGAGCTGTCCTCTCCGGTGTCAAACTGCGACGACATCGTGAAGCATGCGAGGCTTATGCGAAGCTTGGTCTTTAGTCTTTTTGTGGCAACCAACTTCACCTTGCTTATCCACCTTGCTGGGTTGTATTGGTCAGGAAATTACCCTTTCAATATGAACGTGGCTGCGGATTGTTTGGAGCAATGGGCTACCGGGTCCTGGAAAAAGTGTCCACCTTTGAAAGTGGATTGGCCGAGGGCCCAGGCATACTTGAAGTGACCAGCAAACAACCCTGACCGGCTCAACTTGTCTAGCTGTACGTGTACCTGAGGTGCTTGCCCGCTTTGGGCCCAGCAGTTGGTCCATCTCCTGAAGATGGTGGAGTGGCAGTGGACTATAGACCAGTGCCTGCAGTACAATGTTCATGTCATGTCCGTGCAAATGTTTTTAAGTCATGATATGGTCGTGAATCACACCAGCTACAACAGTTTACAGTTGAGGTTCCGACACAAGCTCAACTGCTTGCGGTAAACCCGTTGCCACGTGCTGAGCTGGTCCGTTTTCGTTCCCGGCATGCACGGGAAGTGATTTACCAAGCAGCTGCATCGTTGTGGGCTTACGGGGTTAGTTGGTCGGAAGCGCACAGCATAGCACATAATGCCTACATGGCAGCGCAAGCCGGAGCGGATGTGCAGGTGTAAGGGACTGTTTTGTGAAGAGTGTTGGATTCAATGGGATCATTTTGTCAAGGCCATTGGTTCATGTCCAAAGGTTTTGTGAAGTAGACTGGGTTCTATCATTTTCTGAAACCTGACAGTCCTGATTGCTTTTAGCATTGTGGTGAACACCTTTTCCTGCACATGGGGTGATGCTGTTTGACATGTTGCAACTCGAAGCAATATGCGGGGGATGCAGCTTCAGCCCAAGGAAAGTTTTCTGAAGAGACTATCCGTCACAAATACCACTGTTGTTCGGAGGCACAGTTTTGTGATGGATAGGGTCGCTACTCGGCACAAATACCTTGGGCTGGGCAAGCATCAGCAAGTGTATGGACAGCATGGCATGTACAAACCATAGCCATGCCAAACTGGGCAGTGGAATTTGTGAAGGATAGGGTCGCTATCCGGCACACTTGCGGGGTCTGAGTTAGACGGTTCATTTGTGAAGGATTTGGGTCATGTAAATTTGCTTCTCCAAAGCAATTTCAATCAACCCAGCTAATCAATGAGCGCATTGAACTTAGTAGTCTTGTTAATGTTTTGTACAGGCTTTTCGGGGCAGCTAGTGGAGGGGTCCTACCAACACACCGGTTTTGTGAAGGATAGGGACGCTATCCGTCACAAAATGGTAGAGTGCAAAACCTTATCCGTCACAAAAAGGGTAGAATGCAAACCTTATCCGTCACAAAATGGTCGAGTGCAAAACCTTATCCGTCACAAAATGGTAGCGTGCAAATCCTTATCCGGCACAAACTGGTAGAGTGCAAAACCTTATCCGTCACAAAATGGTAGCGTGCGAAACCTTATCCGTCACAAATGGTAGAGTGGAAAACCTTATCCGTCACAAATGGTAGAGTGCAAAACCTTATCCGTCACAAAACGGCAGAGAGGAGAACCTTATCCGTCACAAAATGACACCATATCAAAATCACATCGTCACAAACCTGATAGGCCCTGAGGTCACATCCGTCACAAATGGATAGATTATGATAGATTCCTAAAACCATATCGGCGACAGACTGGTAGATTCTAAACCCACATCCGCCACAAAACGTCTGGTTTTTACTCGAATATATCCAGCGCACAGTGGGTAACTATTTCCGAAGACCAAAGCTCACTGGCCAGCGTTGCTTGCAACTGGCAATATCCGAGCAGTAGCATCACATTGGACATATCTCAGCAATACCACATCCATCACAAGTTCACTGGGGGGCAAAACTCAAACAAATGAGTTGATGAGCCCAATGTTTTGGGGGTAGTAGCAAAGAGCATGAAATTGCTCAGAATCTTAGGCGCCAACACCGCGAAGGACAAATCATGCTGCGTGCGTGCATAGCCGGAGCGTCAGGAAGTTGAATCTCTAGTTCGTTTTGGTTGCAATCATGCCAGGGGTGAATAGCCAACGCACCTTGTCTTGCAAGTGTGGTTGAAGCGGGCTTGTTGGTGGCTGTGCATTGTGAGTCACAGGGTTGTTGCAACAAACTTTGTTTCAGCACATCGTAACCAGCAATACATCATGTACAACCTTGTCGTAAGCTATCAACAACATGGTATCACTAGCGGTGCAAAAACACTTGTGCAATATGACATGTATCAACAACATTTCACATGGTTTTGTGAGGACATGGCACCAAAGAAACGGTCTTCTGGCGGTGCTGGAGGGCCTCCGTCGAAGAGCAAGAAGGGAAGCACGCCAGATGACCTTCAGCGCTTGGCAGACAAGCTGCTCAAGGAAAACCCACATGTAGGAATGTTGGAGAGGTGGCTGTGACTTGGCAAGTTGGGTGCAAAACACACGGTTGGAACAATGAAAAACTGTCATTAGTTGCACATGATTAGTTTCAGTCAACACAATTGGAATGACCCGTTCTGACTAAGGTCGGAGAAGGTGGAGTCCCATACAAGCCTGGACAAGTATTTGTCTAGTTGTTTGGCGAAGCAGGCTGGCGGGATCTTGTTCAAGTGTCTGTTTGGGAAACCAGTGTTCGTGGTGTCAGGATGATGCCAAGAAATTCTACAGCTGGGTGGACACAGAGTTTGTGGCTGAACATGGGGTGTGGCTTGCATGGGCACCAGTGAAATCAACCCTCAAACGGTCAGTCTTTCCACTAGTCTTTCCAACTAAACCCAACCTCATTTCTCATGTCTTCGTACTTGAGGTGCTATTGTACAGCCGTGGATTTGATGACACCCGGAGGAGTATTTCTACGACCTTACCAGCTCAACTGGGACCCTCAAGCCGGCCTACGAGGATATATAGACCCTGCCCACTACTCAGCACAACAAACATGCTTGGACCGCAAGAACTTGTTGAGTTTACACGTTCAACCAACCACATGTCATGTTTGTTCAAGGATGTTCTCAAGAACTTGGTTCAACTTTGCTGCGTCAACGGGCTGCTGGGCAAACCACACACACTCTCGTTGAACAATCCCAAACATGGATAATTGCACTTTGTGAAACCAAGGTTTCAGACCGACCCAGATGAGTCAGCTGAGAAGTTGTCCGTGGTAGCTAGGTCTCAAGGTTGCCGCACCACCCCCTCCGTATCTTGGACCATGGACAGTGGAGAGATCGGAGCCAGCAAAGGCCTCGCCGGTGTGATGTGCGTGTTCAACGTGAAAGGTTGGAGTAGGTCGCTGGCAGCCACAGCTATACTCCGATGCGCCTATGAAGAGACCGAGTTTTACAAGGCAGGGATTGAACTTCATGACACAAATCTAGAGTCTGGCCTGTTGGAGAGGCGATGCCAACAAAGCTGAAGGAGCATCCACCTCAGCCAATCCTCAACTGCACAAAGCGCTGACAATAACAACAAATTAGAGCTGCCGTGTGTTCAGCTTGGTGTTCACATGTGGGTTCAACCATGTCTTGCCAAGCGTTTTGTGTTCAAACATCATATCTTGCCAAGTGTTTGGTCAGTTGTAGTTCAAGCAAGCTGTGTGTTTGTATATCCAAGGTCGCTTTGCACCATCCATGCTACCGTGACTGCCAGCACGACACATGGTGAGATGTCCTTGGTTGACGCTAACAGGGGTGGCATGGCCTGCTTGTATATTAAATCCTTGATGATGCCTTGAGACACTGTGAGACACATGGCGTGTTGACATGGATGCAACTGTGAAACTCATGGTCGTTGCAGTTCACTTTGTGTGTTGCGTTCTTATGTTCGGAGATTTGTTGAGATTTGTTGAGGCTTGACTCTTCAAAGCACATCTGTGCGGCGGCGTCCGAATGCCCTGAACCTGCTCCACCAATTGACCATCTTGGAGAACAATGGGACTTCAGCAGCCAGTTCATTGGAGGCTTGGTTCGGGAGTAGTGGACAATGCCAGTCAAAGCAACGAAGCAACATGTGCTATCAAAGCTTCATTCCATGCCCTGCCGCAGAACAACTCAGTCGCCAGCAAGCTGGTCAACGCTTACAACTTGGGTGAGAAAGAATCAGCCGCAGCACTTAACTTGTTGCACAAGTCCCCCAAGTTTGTTTCAGACACCTTGCTGAACATGTCAAGGAAGGGTGCGGGATTTGTGTGTTGCAGGTTGGTGTCAACGTTCATGTACATGGAATTGACAAACAATGGTCTGGTCTGCTAGAAGCTGGCAGGAAGTACAGCATGCAGAAGGTG